AGCATTGAGCTGAGGAGATTGGGGTCTCTTCCAAATTTATTCCTTCCTTGATGAAGGATCTGCACTATGCACTTGCTATTCCTATATCCTTTAGTATGGTCTTTTAGCTTTTATAGTAATCACTTTTTTTGGCTATAAATTCTTTATATTAATTTTTGCATGTTCAAATTATTGGTGTGGTTCATGTCCTTCCTGGGCCCTGACTGATACAGGCCCTGTTCATGGTCAGATACAAGGCTGTAGTAAAGGATCCAAAGCATATCATAACCTATGAAGGTCTGCAAAACTTCAGAAATTTTTAGATGTGGCACATAACTTGGAATCCATAGATGACGCAAATGGTTAATGCACTCAGCTGCTAATCAAAGGGCTGGAGGTTTGAGTTCATTCAGGGGCACCTCAAGGGGAAAATTGCCTGACGATCTACTAAAAAATCAGCCACTGAAAACCCTATGGAACACAGGTCTAATGTAATACACATGGGTCACCATGAGTTGGTATACAAATGGTGTGGCAGCAATGTCTGACCTCTAACTTCACAAGGGGGAGGAGGATCAAGAGTAACAGCTCAAGGCTGATTCCTGAGAGAGGGCAAACATGCCTTCAACCTTTTCACCAATTCTGACACCAAGTGTCCTTCTCACAGCACTCTCTACTTCTCTGCTAGGTTCTATAATTCATTGCAATGGCCACACAGAACTCACACACAATACTAACAATTATGGGGTTTTAGAGAAGTAACTAGTTATAAATTCAGGACCAGAAACAACTCAGGACACACTTCTTCAATCACACTAACCTCTTCTCAGCAGTGCCCACAGGGATACCTCTCTCTGGCCCTTGGCTTGTGGCCCTGGGGCCCCTTGGCCTCTGTTCTGGTAAGGCAAATGTTACAAAGCTCTTATAGCTCTGCCAAAGTTAAGTGCTCAGAGATGCCCCATTCTGCCAGTAAGTCTCCTGCCTCAAGGCAGTTGTTTTCTTGTTCCATGAGCCAAGAAGCCCACTGCACTGACTCCTACTGCTCCTGCTCCTGACAGTTTCCTGGTTCTACTGCCTCTGCTTCTCTGCCACGTCTTCTCACCACCTTTCTGGTGTTACAACCCTCTGGCTCCTGGATCAAGGAGATTCTGCACAAGGATCTCAGGTCCAAAGGACATGCTCCACGCCTGGCTCTTCTTTCTTCCTAGTCATGAGATCCCCCCTTCTTGCCTCAGGGATGGCTCAGTTAAGCCTAGTGGGATGGCAAAACTGACCAATCCTCACGTTAGGGTTCCATACACCTTATTTGCATAGTTCCACACCCATAAGAGTGCCATGAACCTTATTACATTATTAGCAAGCTATCTAATCCTCCTGGTGGGGCCCAAGAACCTCATGTTTGCATAGTCTCACCCAGTTTGGTGAGAATTACAAAGACTATGGCTATAATCTAGGATATCTCCTTGAGGACTAAGGTGCGCCTGACACAAGCCATGATATTTCCAATCACCTTGTATGCATGTGAGAGCTGGACAATGAATAGGGAAGACCGAAGAAGAGTTGATGCTTTTGAGTTGTGGTGCTGGCGAAGAATGCTGAAAGTACCATGGACTGCTAAAAGAACTAACAGATCTGTCCTGGAGGAAGTGCAGCCAGAATGCTCCTTGGAAGCAAGAATGGCCAGACTTCGTCTCACCTATTTTGGTCATGTTGTAAGAAGGGACCATTCCCTGGAGAAGGATGTCATGCTTGGTAGGGTGGAGGGTCGACGAAAGAGGGGGAGGCCTTCAACGAGATGGATTGATACGGTGGCTGCGATGATGGGCTCGAGTATAGCAGGGATTGTGGGGCTGGTGCGGGATCGGGCAGTGTTTCGTTCTGCTGTGCATGGGGTCACTATGAGTCGGAAACGACTCGACGGCACTTAACAACAACAACAACAACATGGCTATAATGGCCATATTAAGTAATTCACTGCACTGCAGTTAGTGTTGATTTGATGGCAACTAGTTTTTGTCTTAATTTACCTACACCATTTCTGTTCTAAAGTCAAAATCCCACCATTAAATAGCCACTCCTCTGGTCTCTCCTGTAGCAGTGCAAACATCCTCAGAAGAGAGAACACTGACAGACTTGGACCTCTAAAGGAAGCCTTTTTGCCTCAGGTTTAACCCTAAAAGTAAGAAAACTCAGATGTCTCATTCCTTGGTCTTCCCTAAATATAGTGAGAAGAGCTCAATTTATCCCTGAATGCTGCTTGTTAGTTTCAGAGTCTGATGAAAATAAAACCCACTGCCAGTGAGTTGATTCTGACTCATAGTGACCCTATAGGACAGAGTGGAACTGCCTATAGGGTTTCCAAGGCTGTAAATCTCTACGGAAGCAGACTGCCTCATCTTTCTTCCACAGAGCAGCTGGTGGGTTCAAACCACTGAAATTTTGGTTAGCAGCCAAATGTCTTAACCACTGGAGATCCTTCCACAAAGATTTACAGCCTCGGAAATCCTATATGGTAGTTTTACTCTGTCCCACAGGGTTGCTATGAGTTGAAATGGACTAAACAGCACAGGGTTTGTGTAGGTGGTTGTCCTAATAGTCATTGTAATCCAAAAATAAGGACTTATCAAGGGGAGAAGAAAAAAAATAAAGTATCTTAAATGAAGGGAACAATATAATAACAACACTTAGGGGTGGGAGATATTCTCTGCACATATAAACATCTGTGAGATATTATTAAAGCCAAATTCTGGAACCGTACAGTGGGATGGGGAGGCAGAACCACCAAGCAACTGTTTTTTTTTTTAATTTTTAATTTTTTTTGTTTTTGTTTTTTTGAGGGGGGTGGATTGTGAAACTTGTAAACAATACTTGGGGAGCCAGATTTGCCCCATCCTCACCTTCCATCATGAGAACCACAATCCCTCTAGGCCTGCTTCTGTCATGCTCTTCCAGTCACCCCCACCCCCCCACCCCAGGGAGGTGTGTTGAAGTACTTCTATATCCAATTCTGAACATTCAGCCACCACCTTGCACTGTTCCAGTAGTTTGAAATGGAAAACAGAAAGCACATTCACACTCAGTATCTCAGAAAAAGAAGTTTATGTATGTCCACTTTACAAGTCAAGAAACTGAGGTCCAGAGAGATTAAATTACTTTGTTGACATCCCAAGGAAAGCTACTGGTTGAATCAAGACTGAGTCTCCAGGCTCTGAGTCAAGAGCACTCCACTATTCCAGGGAAAAGAATCTTGCACAAGCACTGGAGCAAACACAGCTAGAAACTCACACCAGGGAGGGGCTTTGAAAGTAAGCCAGTCTAGTCCAACATGAAAATGCATACTCAAGTAATACTTACCTAGAAACTCAGTGTCCAGATGCAGAAAAAACTTCTCCAATTTTTTGCCCAAAAGAACAGGGCACTCCCCCATGGGCGTGTTGGCTGTGCAAACCAAGCTAAACCCACTGCCATCAAGCCTGCTCAGACTGATAGGGACCCTAATACGACAGAGTAGAATTGCCCCATAAGGTTTTCAAAGCTTAAATCTTCACGGAAGCAGAAGGCCTCTTTTTCTCCTGCAGAGTAACAGGTGGGTTCAAACCGCCAACCTTTCGGTTTGCAACCGAATGCTTTAACCACCGCGCCACCAGAGCTCCTGAAGGCGGTGCAATGTGGGGCAAATTATCCAGTTCTCTTACCACACATGGGGTCGCTTTGATCAGAATCGACTTCATGACAACTGGTTCCTACTATGCAGCCCAAAGCAAACAGGCCCTTCGTTTTCACGTGACAAAACACAACTAATTACGATTGATAGCTTTGCAAAGCCCACGCTCAAACTGTCAATTTATGGGATGAGAGTGAAACCAACCTCGCTGGATAGGCTGGCTTCTAATGCAAAAACGTAATTCTCCAAAGGCAGACATTCTCACACTTGAAGAGGCATGAGAATTACCTGGTTTTACTGAAAGTGCAGAGTCCAGGGCATGCTCCAAGGGACTCTGTTTTTTGGGCTGGGGGTAGAGTGGGGAACACGCAATTTTAACAAGCACAAACCCCTCCGCGCATGTGACCCGGGACTCGCCTGGTAACACTGCCTGACAAGACGCCCAGTGTGGCGTGAGGCCGCAGGCCTGTGTTCCTGAGCCCAGCCCGCCCTCCCTGAAGTCCGGAAACGCCGGGAATGCTCTGGGTCGCCAGCCTCGCCAGGCCGCCCCTGCTGTCAGGCCTAGAGTACCATGGGCACCAGGGTCAGGGAAGGCCACGGGCGCGGGGAAGGCCATGGGGCAAAACCGAAGGGGTGAGACAGCGAGTCCCTCCGCAAGCGTTGCAACCACAGCCTCCCTCCCCGCCGGTGGTCCGAACGCCCTCCGAACGGCGCCACTTACTGGCCATGGCTCTCCGGGGAAGCACCATGGGATGCACCGGCTGAGCCGATATTTCCGGCTGATGGGGGCGTTGGCGCGTCAGCCAGGGTGAGAAAATCCGGAGTCCTATGCTCCGCCCCCCACCGCCCGCCCTACCCCACCCCGCCTTGTAGCCCGCGGGCTGCGGGTAGAGCGCCATAATTCAAGTCGTGTGTTTGCAGTAGTGTAATATCTTGAAAAGCAAAGGAGCAAAGAGAGCGTAGTCTAATGACGCGGTAGTCTGCTAGTACTTGTTTAACAGCCTGGTGGGGTGTGAAGATGGCGGGAGGGCACTGAAAAAACCCTTATAGTGTAGCGTCTGCAGATTCTCTGCCAAAGAAGGAAACTTCTTGCAGGTTGGATCATCCCTGTGGTGTGGGTATTACCATGTGGTTCTCAGAATAAGTCGTCCGTCCCTGGAAACCAAAAACCAACCTCAACACCGTGAAGTTAATTCCACGCATAGCGACCCCTCCTTGGGTTTCCCAGGTGGTATCTCTAACCTAAGTAGATTGCCCACTCTGCCTTCTGAGGAGTGCCTGTGGGTTTGAACCGCCAGCCTTCTGGTTGGCAGTCAAATGCCTTAGGCGCTATGCCACCAGCGCTCCCCTAGTAGTTAATCAGGAGATAGAACTATCCTGGTTGGTTTGTTGTTGTTATGTGCGGTGGAGTCGGACCGACTCATCCCCTCCTTGGGTTTCTGAGGCAAGTATCACTACGGAAGTAGATTGCCCCATCTTCCTTCCCAGGAGTGGCTGGTGGATTTGAACTGCCAGTGTTCTGGTTAGCAGTCAAGTGCCTTAGGCACTATGCTACCTACCAATGTTGGTTTAGGCATGCAAAATGTCAGTGGGATCTATACAATAAAAGCCAAACCCACTGGCATTCAGTCTATTGCTAATCATAGCGACCCCCATTGGGTTTTCAAGGTGGTAA